GATGATTAGGGGACTGGAGGCTAAAACATATAAGGAACGGTTGCTAGAATTGGGTATGTCTAGTTTAACGACGAGAAGGACAAGGGGGGACATGATAGCAGTATTCCAATATCTCAGGGGCTGCCATAAAGAAGAGGGAATCAAGCTATTTTCCAAAGCACCTGAAGGCAGGACAAGAAGCAATGGATGGAAACTCATCAAGGAGAGAAGCAACCTAGAACTAAGGAGAAACTTCCTGACAGTGAGAACAATTAATCAGTGGAACAGCAGTAAATGCTCCAACACTGGAAGTTTTTAAGAAGAGACTGGAAAGCCATTTGTCCGAAATGTTGTAGGGTTTCCTGCCTGAGCAGGGGGTTGGACTAGAAGACCTCCAAGGTCCCTTCCAGCTCTGTTATGCTGTAATAGTTGAAGAATGAAATCCATCAAATGGGATGAACAATTTTTTTTTTCTAGATGTGTGTGAAAACGAGAGCCACCGGGTCCTCCTTACAACTGAGTGTACGCAGGTAAATTTTTTCCCCCTGAATATTGGGTTAAAGAAAACAACAACAACAATTTGGTCTTCCCGAAACATCTTAATGATGTCTCTTTATCTTCCTTCCTTGCTCTTAAAAGTATTTATACCCATCATTTCTAGGTGGGGTGGACAGGTTCTCAGCGCACTGAATAAACATTTTAGCATTTAGTGCATGGACACGAAGGCGCTCAGAATAATTGCTTAGAGCCCGGCTTTGGAGAATAATGCAAGCTTTGCATTTATTGCCACACAAAGGGAAAAAAGCTGATGGGGGTGAGGAGAGGGAGCCACATCACTGGATAATATTTCATATCTCTCTCTTTCACTCTCTCTTTCTCTCCCCCCCCTCCTTCCCTTTTTCTCCCTCCCCCTCTCTCTTTCTCCCTCTCTCTCTTTCTCTTTCTCCCTCTTTCTCTCTCTCCTTCCCTCTTTCTCTCGCTCCCCCTTTCTCTTTTTCTCTGTCACTTGCTCTCTTTCTCTGACCCCCTCTCTCTTACTCTTTTTCCCTCCCCCTCTCTCTCCCTCTATCTCTCTTTCTCTTTCTCCCTCTCTTTCTCTCTCCTTCCCTTTCTCTTGCTCCCCTTTCTCTTTTTCTCTGTCACTTGCTCTCTTTCTCTCCCCCTCTTTCTCCCTCTCTCTCTTTCTCCCTCTTTCTCTCTTTCACTCTCTTTCTCTCTCTCCTTCCCTCTTTCTCTTGCTCCTCCTTTCTCTTTTTCTCTGTCACTTGCTCTCTCTCTCCCCCCTCTCTTTCTCTTTTTCCCTCCCCCTCTCTCTTTCTCTTTTTCCCTCCCCCTCTCTCTTTCTCCCTCTATCTCTCTTTCTCCCTCTTTCTCTCTCTTTCATTCTGTCTTTCTCTCCCTCTCTCTCTCCTTCCCTCTTTCTCTCGCTCCCCCCTCTTTCTCTTTTTCTCTGCTGCAATGATTCTGGAAGCTGCAATGATTCTGGAAGAGGAGGAGGAGGAGAGAAGAGCAACAAAGATGATTATGGGGTTGGAGGCTAAAACATTTGCAGAACAGCTTCAGGAGTTGGGTATGTCTAGTTTAATGAAAAGAAGGACCAGGGGTGACTTGATAGCAGTCTTTCAATATCTCAGGGGCTACCACAAAGAGGAGGGGGTCAAGCTATCCTCCAAAGCATCTGAAGGCCGGACAAAAAGCAACGGATGGAAACTAATCGAGGAGAGAAGCAACCTAGAACTAAGGAGAAATTTCCTGTCAGTGAGAACAATTAACCAGTGGAACAACCTGCCTCCAGAAGCGGTGAATGCTCCAACACTGGAAGTTTTTAAGAAGAGACTGGACAGCCATTTGTCTGAAATGCTATAAAATGCTTGTGCAGGGGGTTGGACTAGAAGACCTCCAAGGTCCCTTCCAACTTTCTCATTCTGATTGCAATATGTACACCATGCACGGGAGGTATCGTGAACAGTTAGCTGAGCTGGCAGATCTCAGGAGTCTGTCTATCTATCTATCTATCTATCTATCTATCTATCTATCTATCTATCTATCTATCTATCTATCTATCTCTATCTATAGATGAGATAGAGATAGATAGAGATAGATAGAGATAGATAGATAGATATAGATAGATAGATAGATAGATAGATAGATAGATAGATAGATAGATAGATAGATATGGATAGACAGACAGACAGAGCTAGAGCTAGATAGATGTAGATACAGATACAGATATGGAAAAAAAGCACTACAAATTATACAAATTAGCTGGGCTTAAATATTCAGCCATTAAAAAAAAAAAGGATCTGCATTTTCATTTATGCAAATAATTGCTTTTGCTGTCATCCGAAGCTCTCGTCTGCTAATGGTGTTTATTAATTAGAGATGGCAATATATTTAAATGGAAAACTAATTTGGGCCATTTTCCTCCCTATTTGCAAAAATAAATAAATAAATGGGAAAAAAAGGCAGCCCTTCCTCCCGGATACTCCCAGCTTCGTTGCAACTGAGAAATCCTTTTATTGATTACATCCACTCCCTCTTCATATAACAAATGATCCTTGCCAGCAATTAAAGCCATATTAGTCTTTATGTAAGATGCTGATGGTTACATTTAAAGAGAGAGGAACACAAACAAGTTGCCATTTTTGTCCTTCTCCCCCATGCGAGAATGAAAAAAATAAAATGAAAAGACCGATGTTGCCAATGTATTATTAATATCAATAAATGAGAGCTGGGCAAAATTTAAGTCAGGTCATAATGCGTTTTCCTGGAGCGTTGGGGGTTTAAACAAGTTCCAGTTATTGAAAATATGTTGTGAGAAACACAAAACCCTAGCCCAGCTAAAATTAAATATCTTTTTTTTTAAAAAAAGAGGCTATAATAAAAAATGGGATGCATTAACATAGTTTGCCCTGAAAGCTTGACTAGAAATGGTGGAACTCATGGACCGGATCGAAGACGCCATAAATGTTTTTTTTAGAGGTGGGATTTATAATGAAAAAAATCAGGTTTAACTTTATTTCGCAGGACGTACAATATTGCAGCTTCCTCTTAGGTGTGATGATACATTTGGTATTCTTCTCCTCTGTTTCTCCAATTTCTTCCACATTTCATGGCGTAGCCTGAAGGAAATTTTTAGAGGACGTTGTCTCATCAAAATCAGGTCGCAATTTCGGTTGTATAGTTTAGACTGAAAAAGCTGCCTTGAAGTCCCAGGATGCATTAACATTAGAGGGATAGAATCAAGGTTACATGAAATGCTAATAACACTTAATGCCACATTAGGAATCCTGCATCCAATTTTGGTCACTGTGATGTTAAAAAAAGATGTTGAGACTCCAGAAAGGGTGCAGAGAACAGCAACAAAGAGGATCAGAGGACTGGAGGCTAAAACATATAAGGAACGGCTGCTGGAATTGGGTATGTCTAGTTTAATGAAGAGAAGGACGAGGGGGGGACATGATAGCAGTCTTCCAATATCTGAGGGGCTGCCCCAAAGAAGAGGGAGTCAAGCTATTCTCCAAAGAAGCTGAAGGCCGGAGAAGAAGCAACGGATGGAAACTAAACTCCCCCCCCTCTTTCTTTCTTTCTTTCTTTCTTTCTTTCTTTCTTTCTTTCTTTCTTTCTTTCTTTCTTTCTTTCCTTCCTTTTTCTCTTTCTTTCTTATCTCTCTCTCTTTCTTGCTTTTCCTTTCCTTCCTCCCTCCCTCTCTTTCTTTCTCTGTCTTTCTTTTATCCTTCCTTCCTTTCCCCTCTCTTCTTTCTTTCCTTGCTTTTTCTTTATTTTCTTCCTCCCTCCTTCCTTCCCTCCCCGTCCTTCCTTCCTTCCTTCCTTCCTTCCTTCCTTCCTTCCTTCCTTCCTTCCTTCCTTCCTTCCTTCCTTCCTCTTTTTTCTTTACTTGCTTTCTTCTTTCTCTTTCTTTCTCTTTCTTTCTTTCTTTCTTTCTTTCTTTCTCCCTCTTTCTTTCTTTCTTTCCTCTTTCTTTCTTTCTTATCTCTGTCTCTTTCTTGCTTTTCCTTTCTTTCTGTGTAGCTCAGAGTTGAACTGAGGGGTCCTTGATGCTCTCTGAGCTGGCTGGTTTTCTTGCAGATGTTTCACTGCCCAACTAGGTAACATCATCAGTGCTAGAAGGGAGGGGGGTTTGAAGGGAGGAGGAGGTCCTCAGTTCTCTCTGAGCTGGGTGGTTTTCTTGCAGACATTTCATGGCCCAACTAGGGAACATCATCAGTCCTTGTGAGTGTGGCTTGCTCCCTGTTTATATACAATAGCTCAAGAGTGGGATTGTTTTCTTGCAGATGTTTCATGACCCAACTAGGGAACATCATCAGTGTTAGTAGGGAGTGGGGATTGTGGAGAGGAGGAGATGGGTCCTTAGTTACATCAGGTGTGGGTCATTGGGAGGTGGAGTTTGAACCTGTACCTGTACTGTTTGTGATTGTATTTTTCTTGTGTTTTCTTTTGTTGCACTTGCATTTTGGTCTGTGACTGTAAAATAATAATAATAATAATAATAATTTATTATTAATATTATTACCTGTACCTCTGGCTTTGCTAACTTTCCTCCTTGGTGGGTTTGCCCGTTCTGTCTGTCCCTTCCTCCAAAGTCAACAGTCTGTGAGAAGATCATGGAACTGCTGGGTCAAAATGAGGTGGATCATCATCAACGCAAAGTCGTCATTCTCAGCCAAGATCGATTCTACAAGGTCCTCACCCCAGAACAGAAAGCCAGAGCTTTAAAGGGACAATATAACTTTGACCATCCAGGTATCTATTGGGCCACCTCTGTTGAGCTTGGAAGGGTCAGTGGGTGGAAGAACTTCAAAGTAGAGTTCTGGAGGCCAGGGGTGACCTCCGATGCCACCAAATTTTGAGTAGTTCCATCTATGAGACGGAAAGATAACCTTATGGGGTCCTTGGTGCTGTCTGAGTTTAGTGGTCTTCTTGTAGATGTTTCATGACCCAACTAGATAATATCAGTACTAGAGCGGAGGAGGAAGAGGAAGAGGAGGAGGAGAAAGGAAAGAGGAGAAAGGGAGGAGGAGGAGGACTGTGGAGTCCTTGGTGCTCTCTGAGCTTGGTTGTCTTCTTGCAGACACTTCATGACCCAACTAGGTAACATCATCAACAACAAATAAGGCCTTCTTACTAATCACCAATGTCTTAATCCTGCACACAACTTTATAACTATCTAATTTCTATCAATCTTCCTCTTTGTCCAGATGTTATGGTTATAGTCCAGCATTACGTCACCCTGGCACGCTGCCAGGGAAAAAGGCTCTTTGCAAATTTTCTAGTTAGAAAAGAGTAAGGTCGACGTAAGGCTGCATTCTGATGACTTTGCCCCCAAACTGACCAACCTAGCCTGTCCTATCTTGGGAAAGGCTGACTTTTTTGCCCTCTTTGGGCTAAGGAAATATTAGGGCCAGACTTTTGGCCCACTTTGGGGGTTAGAAAAGAGTAAGGCTAACGTAAGGCTGCATTCAGTGGGATTTTAAGGTTATTATTCTGCATCTTTATTATGAGAAGCCCCGTTATTTGTTATTAATAGAACAACGGGAGGCCCAAGGGCTGCAGAACAGGCACAGATGTAGGCAAAAAGGCTCTTTGCACATGTGCTAGTTAAGAAAATTTGCATTCCGATGACTTCGATCCACACAGCCTGTCCTATCTTGGGAAACCCTGGCTTTTTCGCAAACCTCTTTGGGGTAACGTTTATTTCCTCGTGGGGCTGCTATTCCTGCCTTGACCACAGGAGGGCGATGTTAAATGTCCCGTGCCATTAGCACCGAAGCCATCATCGGCTTTTTTAACTCGGTTTAAGGCTTTGGGAAACGGGTTTCCTGCTTCCGTGCCTGTTCTGCAGCCCCGTCGCTCTGTTACGATTAACCGGGGGTATGCAGTTGCCCGTGGCAGGTAGTCCCGCAGCCCCGTTCAGCCAAGCATAGCGGCGGAGGGAACGAGCCAGCACAGGCAAGAACTTGTTGGTAAGAGAGCCGCCCAGAGCGGCAGAATGAGGCAAAGACGCCCGGCTCACTTCCGGTTGACCCGGAAGAGAAAGGAGGAGGAGGTGCGGAGACAGCTGCAGCCGTTGGAACATGGTCAGGCAAGGAAGGCAGCAAGCAAGGATGCATGCCGGCAGCCTTTGAGCCGCTCTACAACTGCTGACATCCGTGCCCGCGGCAGCAAGCAACAGGCAAGAAAGGCAGCATCAACAGGAGGTAAGGACCTGGGGAGGGAGATGGAGAGTGGAAGGATTCTTACGTGCTTTTGTGACTCGGAAGTTCTGGGCTTTGTGCAAGGTGGGCTTTGCGTGCTTAAGGAGTGTTTGGCAGTTTCTGTTGGGCTGGTGGTGTTAGCTTCTGTCGCTCTGCTATTGTGAGCTGTTAGTTTTGCTGCAAGGGGTTTTGCAGTATTTTTCTCCCGAATGGCTTTTGCCTGGAGCAGTGTTTCTCAACCTTGACCATTTTAAGGCATGTGGACTTCAACTCCCAGAATTCCACAGCCAGCATTGCTGGCTGTGGAATTCTGGGAGTTGAAGTCCACATGCCTTAAAATGGTCAAGGTTGAGAAACACTGGCCTGGAGCATTCCTTTACTTATGAATGGAGCCATTTGGGGAGGCTGCCTTAGCGGGCAGCAAGTATTTGTTTACGGGTTTTTTTTTTTCTTCCTTAAGTGCCAGCTGGTAGCCAGTCTCCAATTCTTAAAGGGGAATGTGCCTTTTTAAGCTAGTTCCCTCAATGGCTTCTCTTTTCTGTCTCTGGAGGCTTTTCCTTGTTTGATGAATATATGAAAGAGGGAAAATATTGGGGGGGGGGTATTATTCTGCATCTTTATGAGCCTGTAGGTGGCTATGTGATTTTTTTTTTTTTTCCAAAATAAAATAAAAAAATTGTGACTGTTTTCAGCCCGGCTTCCCACCAGCAAAGTTCAGTGGGAGAAGCCGGGTTGGCTTAAGGATGACATGAGTCATTCACAACTGCAGTGATTCGGTTAACAATTTTGGCAAAAAAGGGGTCATAAAATGGGGCACCTTGCTTAACAGTGGGAATTGTTTAATTTGTAATCGTAACTCCAGGACTATTGGTAGAAGTTGAAGCTTATTGAGTGCCTGTTGGAAGAAATCTAAGCCTGTTTCCTTTCTTCTGGCTAAGATCACTTCTGAACAGATACTTGCTTAGGCTGGGTTGTTGTCGTTGTGTGTTTTTTGAGAATTGTGACTTTTCTTCTTTTCCCTTGCAAACCAAGAAATATGCGGATGTCATTATCCCTCAAGGCGTGGATAATACGGGTAAGAATTTTAAAATTTATAGAGAGAGGGGAGGGGGATTATCCAATCCAGGGGTCTTCAAACTTGCCCATTTTATGACTTGTGGACTTCAACACCCAGAATTCTTCAGCCAGGCATGCTGGCTGAGGAATTCTTGGAGTTGAAGTCCACAAGTCATAAAATGGCCAAGTTGGAAGACCCCTGCTATAGACTTTAAGAGGAGTGGACTTCAATTCCCAGAATTCCTCAGCCAGGCACAAGTCCACAAGTTATCAAAGGGCCAAGTTTGAAGACCCCTGGTCTTTAACTCCCACAATTCCTCAGCCAAGGAATTCTGGGAGTTGAAGTCCACAAGTCATAAAAGGGCCAGGTTTGAAGACCCGTGCCATAGATAATGAAGGAAAGAGTATTCTTAACTTTTTTTAATTGTACGTTTTCTTTCACCAGTAATCAGTAAATTCCTGGATAGGCTTTGCCCTCTGGAACTGCTTTTTTTTTTTTTTTTTTTTACAAATTATCTTTGAGACACTTTCCAGAGTCTCAACAAAATCCAAATCCTGCAGGTACTTTTAAACGCTGGGCAAAAATTGCTGGGCCACACATCCTTTTTTAAAACGTTGTGGCTTTAAAATGTTACAGCAGCTGAATTCTTAAGAGTGAGCTCAGCAGCCAAAGGTGGGGCAGGCTTCTCTTTGAAATGCAAAAAGTTTGGGGCGGTTTTTTTTTAATATAGGTTACTTTTTTTATAGTTTCTCTCTCTCTCCAAATGTATTCATTGGCTGTGCTGGCCAAGTGGTTTTTGTTAATTTATTTCACAGTTGGCCCTTCATAAACCTCAGCTAGGCTTTTAAATTCCAAAGGCGGTGGGGAAACTAGCATTTAGTAAGATAAGTGCAGAAATGGAGTTCAAAGGAGGCAGGTGGTGGGCCTCATTGCACGAGGAGGTTGAAATACAAGTGGGGGGGGGGAAATCCTGTGCTCCTTTTTCCCTTTTGCTAGTGAGTCACTGATAGATAGATCCATTATACTTTCAACGGAGCCACGGACTTTAATTTGGTGGGTTAGAAACAGAATCTAACAGAACAAGAGATTCAGGCTAGAAATGAGGTGAGAACAGTCAACCCGTGGAACAGAAGTTGCCCTCAGAGGTTGTGGGAGCTTCATCACTGGAATCTTTCAAGAAGAGACTAGACTGCCATTTGTCAGTAATGGGTTAGGGTCTCCTGCTTGGGTGGGTGGGGGTTGGACTAGATGACCTACAAGGTCCCTTCCAACTCTGTTATTCTGTGCTTATCTGGGGCCAGATAAGTGTTAACAGAATCAGAGAGTTGGAAGGGACCTTGGAGGTCTTCAAGCTGGTCCCCTTTGATGACTTATGGACTTCAACTCCCAGAATTCCTCAGCTAGGCACGCTGGCTGAGGAATTCTGGGAGTTGAAGTTCACAAGTCATCAAAGAACCAAGATTGAAGACCCCTAGTCTAAACCTTTTTTTTTTTAAAGCTGGCAACTTTAAGATGGGTGGACTTCAACTCCCAGAATTCCTCAGCCAGGCACACGGGCTGAGGAATTCTGGGAGTTGAAGTCCACAAGTCATCAAAGGGCCAAGTTGGAAGACCCCCGTCCTATAACATGTCAGATAAATGGTTATCCATGTCTCCTTAAAAACTTCTGGAAGCAGATTGTTTCATTGATTAATTGTTCTCACTGTCAGAAAAATTCTCCTTAGTTCTAGTTTGCTTCTCTCCTTGGTGAGTTTCCATCGTTGCTTCTTGTCCTGCCTTCTTGTTCTGCTTTGGAGAACAGCTTGACTCCCTCTTCTTTGGGGCAGCCCCTGAGATATTGGAAGACTGCTATTTGGTCACCCCTAGTCCTTATCTTTATTGGACTAGACATACTGGAACAAATCTAGTGTGTTTCAGGTAAAAATTAAAGCTGGCTTGCCTGCCTTTTCAAATCTCTAATTTGTCTCTTCTCTTTATTACAGGAGAATCTACACAAAGGCTATAGACGATGAGGGGAAGGCTTCCTGTTAACAGTTTCCTGGGTTTGAATTGCAAATGGGAAAACAGCGATCGCAACTGAAAGATTACACCACTTGGACTGATCCCAGGATGACAAGAAGGCCATCTTACCTTCCTGGTCTTCACCGTTGACACGCAACAATCTCCATCGTCATAGTTGCAAAAGGCTCGGTTGTTGACCGGATCACAATAATTGTCTCCCCCAAAAGGCTGGAAAAGAAAAGAAAAAAACAAAAAGATGAGGACAATGTCTACTTGCTTGTTAAGTGAACATTGGGAATCGGCTACAATTGCCGGCCGTGAAGACTCTGGAGAATGAGAAGGAAGAGAAACGAATCTTATTAGTGGACAATCCAGAACTGTTCCAGTTAAGCTGCCTAGAGCAGGGGTCTTCAAACTCGGCTCTTGCATGACTTGTGTACTTGTACGTGAGCTTGGCTGAGGAATTCTGGGAGTTAAAGTCCACAGTCATAAAAGGGACAAGTTTGAAGACCCCTGGTATAGTTTCCTGCCTAGAACAGGGGTCTTCAAACTTGGCCCTTTCATAATTGTGGATTTCAACTCCCAGAATTCCTCCCTCCTTTAATTCATTCCTTTCTTCCCTCCCTTCCTCTTTTTTCTTCTTTTCTTTCCTCCCTTATCCTTTTTTGTTTTTTCCTCCCTCAGTCTCTTTCCTTCCTTCCTTCTCTCTCATTCTATCTATCTTTCTTTTCCTTCCTTCCTTCCATCTCTTTTTTCTTCCTTTCTTTCTTTTCCTTTCTCTTTTTCTTTCTTTCTTCCTTCCTTCCTTTTTTCTTTTCCTTTCTGTCTTTTCGTTCCTTCCTTTCATCTATCTATTTCTTTTTCTGATTTCTTTTCTCTTTCTTTCTTTTTCCTTCCTTCATTCACTTTTTTCTTTCTTTCCTTTTTCTTCCTTCCATTTCTATCTATCTATCTATCTATCTATCTATCTATCTATCTATCTATCTATCTTTTTATCTCTTTTCCTTCCTTCCTTCTCTTTCTTTTTTCTTCCTTTCTTTTCCCTTTCTTTTCCTTTCTTTCCTTCTCTTTCTTCCTTTTTTTCCTTCCTTCCATCTATGTTTTTCTTTTTCTTTCTTCGTTCACTTTCTTTTTTCATTCCTTTTCTTTTCCTTCCTTCCATTTCTATCTATCTATCTCTGTCTTTTTATCTCTTTTCCTTCCTTCCTTTTCCTTTCTTTCCTTCTTCCTTTCTTTTTTCATTCCTTCCTTCCATCTGTTTTTCTTTTTCTTTCTTCCTTCACTTTCTTTTTTCTTTCCTTTCTTTTTCTTTCTTTTCCTTCCATTTCTTTCTATCTTTATATCTGTCTTTTTATCTTTCTTTTCCTTCTTTCCTTCTCTTACTTTTTTCTTCCTTTCTTTTTTCATTCCTTCCTTCCTTCCATCTATCTTTTTCTTTTTCTTTCTTCCTTCACTTTTTTCTTTCTTTTCCTTCCTTCCTTCCATCTCTTTTTTCTTCCTTCCTTTCTTTTTCCCTTTTCCTTTCTTCTTTTTTTTCCTTTTTTCCTTTCTTTTCCTTTCTTTTTTCGTTCGTTCCTTCCCTCCATCTATCTTCTTCTTTCTTCCTTCACTTTCTTTTTTCTTTCCTTTTTCTTTTTCTTTCTTTTCCTTCCTTCCATTTCTATCTATCTATCTGTCTATCTTGCTTTTCCTTCCTTCCATCTCTTTCATTTTTCTTTCTTTCCTACTTCCCTTTCTTCTTTTTCTTGATTTTGTTCCTTTTAGTCTTCCTTCCTTCCTTCCTTCCTTTCTTTCTTTCTTTTTCTTTCTTTCTTTCCTACCTTCCTTCCTTCCTTCAGTCTTTCATTTTTCTTTCCTTCCTTTTCTTCCCTTCTTGCTTTTTTCCTCTGGTTCCTTCCTTTCTTTTTCCTTTTTTTCCTTCTTCCCTTCTTTCTTTCTTTCCTTCATTCCTTACATCCTTCCTTCTCTTTTCTTTTTCTTTCTTTCCTTCCTTCTTTTTCCGTTTTTTTTTCTTTCCTTTCTTCCTTCCCTCCTTCCCTTCCCCTGGCTGTTGTGAACATATCTTTGGAAAACTTGTAAATGTGTTTAATGCCATTTCCTTGATTTATTGTTTGACTTAAAAATTGTTTGTTTGACTTTGTTGACTTCCATCTTTCATTTTTCTTTCCTTCCTGTCTTCTCTTTCTCCTTTCTTTCTTTTCTTCCTTTTATCCTTCCTTCCTTATATCTTTTCTTTTTCTTTCTTTCCTTCCTTCCATCTCTTTCATTTTTCTTTCTTTCCTGCTTTTTTCTCTGCTTTCTTTCTTTCTTTCTTTCTTTCTTTCTTTCTTTCCTCTTTCTTTTTTCTCTTTTTCTTTCTTTCTTTCTGTCCTTTCTTCCTTCCATCTCTTTCATTTTTCTTTTTCTTTCCTTCTTTCTTTTCTTTCCTTCTTTTCTTTTTTCATTCCTTCCATCTGTTTTTCTTTTTCTTTCTTCCTTCACTTTCTTTTTTCTTTCCTTTTTCTTTTTCTTTCTTTTCCTTCCTTCCATTTCTATCTATCTATCTGTCTATCTTGCTTTTCCTTCCTTCCATCTCTTTCATTTTTCTTTCTTTCCTACTTCCCTTTCTTCTTTTTCTTGATTTTGTTCCTTTTAGTCTTCCTTCCTTCCTTCCTTCCTTCCTTCCTTCCTTCCTTTCTTTCTTTCTTTCTCTTTCTTTTTTTCCTACCTTCCTTCAGTCTTTCATTTTTCTTTCCTTCCTTTTCTTCCCTTCTTGCTTTTTTTCTCTGGTTCCTTCCTTTCTTTTTCCTTTTTCCTTTGCTTCCTTCTTCCCTTTCTTCTTTCTTTCTTTCCTTCGTTCCTTACATCCTTCCTTTTCTTTTTCTTCCTTTCTTTCTTTCCTTCCTTCTTTTTCCTTTTTTCTTTTTCTTTCTTTCCTTTCTTCCTTCCCTCCTTCCCTTCCCCTGGCTGTCGTGAACATATTTTTGGAAAACTTGTAAATGTGTTTAATGCCATTTCCTTGATTTATTGTTTGACTTAAAAATTGTTTGTTTGACTTTGTTGACTTCCATCTTTCATTTTTCTTTCCTTCCTGTCTTCTCTTTCTCCTTTCTTTCTTTTCTTCCTTTTATCCTTCCTTCCTTATGTCTTTTCTTTTTCTTTCTTTCCTTCCTTCCATCTCTTTCATTTTTCTTTCTTTCCCGCTTTTTTCTCTGCTTTCTTTCTTTCTTTCTTTCTTTCTTTCTTTCTTTCTTTCTTTCTCTTTCCTTCTTCTCTTTCTTCTTTCTCTTTTTCTTTCTTTCTTTCTGTCCTTTCTACCTTCCATCTCTTTCATTTTTCTTTTTCTTTCCTTCTTTCTTTTCTTTCCTTCTTCTTTTCTTTTTTCATTCCTTCCATCTGTTTTTCTTTTTCTTTCTTCCTTCACTTTCTTTTTTCTTTCCTTTTTCTTTCTTTTCCTTCCTTCCATTTCTTTCTATCTTTATATCTGTCTTTTTATCTTTCTTTTCCTTCTTTCCTTCTCTTACTTTTTTCTTCCTTTCTTTTTTTCATTCCTTCCTTACTTCCATCTATCTTTTTCTTTCTTCCTTCACTTTTTTCTTTCTTTTTCTTTCTTTTGCTTCCTTCCATTTCTTTCTATCTGTCTTTTTATCTTTCTTTTCCTTCCTTCCTTCCATCTCTTTTTTCTTCCTTCCTTTCTTTTTCCCTTTCTTTTCCTTTCTTCTTTTTTTTCTTTCTTTTTTCCTTTCTTTTCCTTTTTCTTTCTTCCATTTCTATCTATCTATCTGTCTGTCTTTTTATCTCTTTTCCTTCCTTCTTTTTCCTTTTTTCTATTTCTTTCTTTCCTTTCTTCCTTCCCTCCTTCCCTTCCCCTGGCTGTCGTGAACATATCTTTGGAAAACTTGTAAATGTGTTTAATGCCATTTCCTTGATTTATTGTTTGACTTAAAAATTGTTTGTTTGACTTTGTTGACTTCCATCTTTCATTTTTCTTTGCTTCCTTTCTTCTCTTTCTCCTTTCTTTCTTTTCTTCCTTTTATCCTTCCTTCCTTATCTCTTTTTCTTTCTTTCCTTCCTTCCATCTCTTTCATTTTTCTTTCTTTCCTGCTTTTTTCTCTGTTTTCTTTCTTTCTTTCCTTCTTCTCTTTCTTCTTTCTCTTTTTCTTTCTTTCTTTCTGTCCTTTCTTCCTTCCATCTCTTTCGTTTTTCTTTTTCTTTCCTTCTTTCTTTTCTTTCCTTCTTTCTTTTTCTTTCATTCTTTCCTTTTAGCCATCCTTCCTTCTCTCTTTCTTTTCTTTTTCCTTTTTCTTTCCTTCCTTCCATCTTTTTTCTTTATTTTCTTCCTCTTCCTTTTATTGCTGTTTTCGCTGCTTGCTTCCTTTCTTCTTCCTTTCTTTTTCCTTTTTTCTTTCTTTCCTTCTTTCCTTCCTTTTATCCATCCTTCCTACTCTCATTCTTTTCTTTTTCTTTCCTTCCTTCCTTTCTTCTCTCTTTTTCTTTTTCTTTCCTTCCTTCCATCTCTTTCATTTTTCTTTCTTTCCTTCCTTTCTTCTTTGCTTTCTTCATCTTTCTTTTTTCCTTCCTTCCTCCCTTTCTTCTTTCTCTTTCTTTCCTTCTTCCCTTTCTTCTTTTTCTTTCTTTCTGTCCTTTCTTACTTCCATCTCTCTCATTTTTCTTTTTCTTTCCTTCTTTCCTTCTTTCTTTTTCTTTCCTTCTTGCTTTTTTTCTCTGGTTCCTTCTTCCCTTTCTTCTTTCTTTCTTTCCTTTGTTCCTTACATCCTTCCTTCTCTTTTCTTTTTCTTTCCTTCCTTCTTTTTCCTTTTTTCTTTTTCTTTCTTTCCTTTCTTCCTTCCCTCCTTCCCTTCCCCTGGCTGTCGTGAACATATCTTTGGAAAACTTGTAAATGTGTTTAATGCCATTTCCTTGATTTATTGTTTGACTTAAAAATTGTTTGTTTGACTTTGTTGACTTCCATCTTTCATTTTTCTTTCCTTCCTGTCTTCTCTTTCTCCTTTCTTTCTTTTCTTCCTTTTATCCTTCCTTCCTTATCTCTTTTTCTTTCTTTCTTTCCTTCCTTCCATCTCTTTCATTTTTCTTTCTTTCCTGCTTTTTTCTCTGCTTTCTTGTAACTGTAACTTTGTAACTTTGTAGTTGTGGGATCTGAAAATGCAGAGGTCTTTTTTTAATGGTGGAATATTTAAGGGAAGGTAATTTGTATAGTTTGTAGTTCTTTTTTTGCACCGCACGGCACGAAGGCAAGGCAAC